TAAATACATCCTTACCTATACAGCAAAAGGGGCAGAAAACTGAAAGCCCCCAAAGAGTATATTAAGGTTTATTAAGTATCCTGACATCCATGCACATGCTTGGACTTCAACTCCCATAATTCCTGATCAGTGGTCAACCTGGCTAGAGCTTATGGGTTCAAGACAGCTGGGAAGAAACATATGACAGTGTTTGGAGCACAGATTAAAGCTGGTGTCATCAATGGCACCAAACATTCCACGTATAAGACAATCAGGTTTTCCTGTTTCCGTCCCAGGAAAGTTTCTTAACAATTAAGTATACAGAAATTGAGAAAGAAAAACAGACTGCCTTCCTCGCGAACACGGCACAAGCAGCCACATTTTGCTGAAATAATGCCGAGGTGCACCCCAACGCTCCCCCCCTCTTCCTCCACCCTCATTACACTTTGCGCCCTGATCCTTCTCAATCCCATCGCCGCCTCTAAGCTACCCCCGGATTTTCCCTCCCCCCTGGCTCTCCTCAGCAAGGGTGGCTGGAGCACCGACCCGGAGCACAAGGAAGGCCGGATTTTGAGGGGGGGGGGTAAAGGATATCTGTTACCTGCGTGGGGCGATGCCTGCCAAAGCGCATGCGTCGACGAGAGGTTCCTTGGCTCCACCTTCTTCAGATCACGCAGGCGCATAATTCTTGATCGGCGCGGTTCAGCCTATGGGCGCCTCGCGAGTTCCCTTTCCTGCGAATTTCTAATGGGAGCGGGCTGCGGAGCAGAGGCTAACTTTTGGGAGATACGTTACGGGATTCTAAATGAAAACGAGCAATTAGTCGGTAGTATCTTTAATCTTTTGGATTGCGTAGATGGAAAGGCTGAGTAACCATTGCCACACTTTTTCCTTGGCATTTGAAGTAGTCTCAATGCAATGGGATTTCTTCCAGAGAAAGCAAAAAAAAAAAAAAAAAAAAGATCGATTCAGCAGGACTTTATTGTAGGAAAGTTAAGCCACCTGGGTTTTAATTAGCTGATCGTTTATCCTGTAAGAAACGACCTTATTTCACGGATCTCACTACTGTACAGTCGTGGTAAAGAGCTGTTTTTTTTAGAATAGAATTCTTTATTGGCCAAGTGTGACTGGACACACAAGGAATTTGTCTTGGTTTTCAGTGGTAGGTTTAAAAAATACATAATTCTTAACATGGTCAAATTCATTAGGAGCTGCCAAGCAGTATGTAGTCAATTAGTGGTGTACACAACATGCATTTTTGGAGTGGTGAATTGATAGCATGGGGTTTTCCACTTGTTGTAAACTGATTTAAAGGAGTGGCCCAATTTATTTCTCAAGGCTGTGCTCTGAATTCCCCAGAGTTATTAGTAAAACTGGAGGTGGGGGAAAGTCCAAGTAAGACAAAGACTTCATTATGATAAATCGAAATATTACAGGAGAGTGAAGTTTTCATTTTCCTCAGAACTCTTCTTCAGGCCAGTGATTACAAATGCATCAAGTGGAGAGAAAAAGGAGAATCCCAAAGTAGAGCCACATGTTTCAGCCAGAATGGCCAGTCACCCCAAAATAGATTGTGGCCTGAATGCATTCTTCATTGCTGGGTGTGGATATTTTATACCCAGCTATCTTTGTCCCACTTCGTTGCTTGCAGATGCCTCGACATTTCTGTGCTGGTTTCAAACCATTCTTGGCAAAAGAAGAAGTCAGTAAATCCAGGTGCTTTGTCTGACCTTCCATTGCCTTTGTCCTCCCATTTCTCATTCTTCACTGGAGAGAAAGGGGAAGAATCATGCCATAAAGCCAGCACACAATGGCAGATCAATTGTCTGCACATTCATTAATAGTCTCTCCCAAAACATGGTAATTTCAGCAAAGCACTCTTAATAAGTGAGTTGAAGAATGCAGATGAATCCTATGCAGATAGTTCTCAACTACAACAGTTCACTTAGTAATAATTCAAAGTTACAATGACACTGAAAAGTGACTTATGACTGTGTAGAGTTGTAACTGCAGGAATGTTCCAATCTCGGATGGCAAACCTCAGATAAAGAATGTTTCCAAGCAAATACAACTCAGGCAAATGAAGTCACTAATCTATGGATAAAGGAGGATTAGAGAGGGGAAGTAAACATATGTTAGACTTTAACTAGAGATAATTAATTGTATGGATTACTGTACTAAACAGTAACGAAAGTTAAGCAGTAACCAAAGTTAACCAATGATGGAGGATAACTAAAAATGTATATAAATGCAAGACTATACTCCAATAAAGTTGTTCATGATTCAGTTGTTCATGATCAAACAACTCGACTGCCTCGTCATTACAACATGACTGTTGCAGCATCCCTATGGTCATGTGATTTATATTTGGATGCTTGGCAACTGACTCCCATTTATGACAGTTGCAGTGTCCTGGTGTCATGTGAACACCTTTTGCAACCTTCTGACAAGCCAAGTCAATAGGGAAACCAGATTCATTTAACAACCGTGTTACTAATTTAACAACTGCAGTGATTTATTTAACACATGTGGCAAGAACAAGTTGTAAAATGGAGCAAAATTCACTTAACAAATTTCTCACTAAGCAACATAAATTTTGGGCTCAATTGTGGTTGTAAGTTGAGGACTACCTGCATGTGCATTTTCAAAAGTAGTACAGGTAGTCCTCAACTTACAACAGTTCATTTATTGACTGTTCATAGTTGTAACAACACTGGAAAATGTGACTTATGACCATTTTTCACAGTTACGACCTTTGCAGCATCCCCATGGATCAGGTGATCAAAACTCAGATGCTTGGCAACTGGTTCATATTTATGACTTTCTGTGTCCCAGGGTCATGTGATCATCTTTTGCGACTTTCTGACCAGCAAGGTCAATGGGGAAGTCAGATTCTGTGATGACCCAGGGTGTGGCACAAAGGCAACACAGTCACCTAAGCAAGAAGAGTCCCTTTAATACCTCCAACTTTGCCCCCAATGTCCAGGTTACCTTCGGCTGGAGAAAAACTCTCCTAGGAACAGTCTTTAAGTAGAGGAAATTCAGTCCGAAAACAAAGTACATACAAACTGTAAATAAAAATCCACACAAATCATGCTGCAGCAATTAACTTGACAGGGCAGGAGAAGGAATTGCAGACTTGAAAGCCCAACAAAACACACAGTTGGGAAGATGCCAGGACCCCAGATAAGCCTCGGCAATATCAGATAATTCACGGTTTGCTCTCAACAGTTGACTGTGTGCAACCTTCCTTTTTAAACACTGTTCCCAGCTGCAGCTAATGAAGGGAATCAGGGCCCTTTCGTCCCCCGTAAGCCACACAACTCACGTTGCTCTCTTCTCCGTTCCTTCCTTAATGCTCTAGGATGAAGCCTGGGTCTTCCTCCGAATTCCCTCTTCCTTGCTCTACTTCTCCCTTGCTCTGCCCAGGCAGACTGTGCCCTTCCCCAGTTTCTTCCACAGCCAATGGAGCCACACTCCTACTCCCTGTCAGCTGCTTGGCCTCCCCCTTGGAATCAGATTCCGACAGGGGCATGACTGATTCACTTAACAACCAGATTGCTGTTTATCAACTGCAGTGATTCATTTAACAACTGGCAAGAAAGGTCATAAAATGGGACAAAACTAACAAATGTCTCACTTAACAGAAAATTTGGGTTCAACTGTGGTCATGAGGACTACTTGTATCTGTTTCATGATGTATTTTAAAGTATGTACAGTATCAGAAACAATTTCTGCTGTAAGCCCACTATTGATCCATGGATCAAAGTGTTCATGCATTTTGTTTGCAATTCCATATACACTTCAAAATATGAGACTATTATGTTACTGCTATAATCTCTGAAAGCCAATTTTAAGGCCACTTCAATACTTCTGGCTTATAATGCCACCCACAACTCATTGGGCTACTAGAAAACATTGTCAACCTAAAACTTACTGCAGGGATTGAAATTTTAGTTTTAATGGATTTTTATTTGCAGCTAAATATTCTGATTTGCAACATATGGTTAAAACGTATCATATAAAGATTATAAAACAGATATACCCAATTCTGCTGAACCTAATTTTTTTAAAAGTGAGGAAGCAGGGAGTAATCAACCAATGGATCAGCTTGCCTGGAGCTTCATCACTGGAGGCTTTCAAGAAGAGACTGGACTGCCATCTCTCAGAAATGGTGTAGGGTCTCCTGCTTGGGTGGGCGGGGGTTGGACTAGATGACCTAAGGTCCCGTCTAACTCTGTCAATCTGTTATTTGACAGGAAAAGGGCGGTACCAATGCCAGAAGGGATTTGACAACAACTTTGAATAGACCTGTACAAGTAGTCCTCGATTTATGACAATTGAACCCAGAATTTGCAATAGTCATAAAAAAGTCAGAAGTCACTTTTTTCAGTGCCTTCAAGCAGTCACTAAACAAACTGTTGTAAATCGAGCACCACCTGTATGCTAAAGCAGGTCTCCTGTTAATCGTCTTGAAAAGAGGCCACAATTGAAACACATATACTGCAATTGTTATGAGGAAAAATGGTTAATCTTGAATGCAATTAAAGCAGCAGCGCTATGCTTACTTTTGAAAAAAAAAATGTCATTAACCAGAATTTTAAGATGCAGGTAGAAAATACGATTTTTTTCAACAGATTCCAAAACTTGCACATAATCCAAATCTTCCTTCTTCTGGTAATTTGTTTCTGCATCAGGGATGGTATTGCTATGTAATTTTCTGACTGATTTGGAATCCGTCCGGGTCTAGATTTAATTAATCCGGGAGATTTAGTTAAAGGGAAGGTTTGTTTTTTTCTTCCCCTTTTGGTCTAAATATTTTTCTCGATTTAACAATAAAGCGCCATTCAATCTTAGCACTGACAGCGAAATATACCCTCTTCTGGGCCGAACTCTTTGCGCCTATATATGTGTGTGTGTGTGTGTATAGACAATCGGGGTTTCTCCGCCCACCGACGCCTCGTCCCTTTAACTCACAAAGAGTTTCCTCCAGCTACGAAAAGGCAGCTTAATTGGGGCGGCCAGGTTTTAACCTCATCGGGCAGGGACGGAAGTCGAAGAATTGCAGGGAGTTCGGAATTGGTGCCGAAGTACCGGAGGGGAGTGCCTCCGTCCGGAAACCAAAGACCTCGTGATTGCAATAAGGAATTCGGCGCTGGTTTACTTCTGGAACTGCTGGTGGATTTCCTGAAGTGCCGCTTTGCAGAAGAAGCGGCTGGAGCGAGCGAGTGCCGGGCGTTTGGCCTGTTCCGGGAGAGCTGAGGCGCCGAGAAACAGCTACGCACCGTCTGAGTGCGAGCAGCTCAAGCGGAATTCCGCGCTGGCGTGAAGAGGGCAACGCAGACTTTCGGCGTATGAGAGAGAGTTGGAGCCCGAAAATCGTGAGAGGCAATGGGAAGAGCGAGCGGGGCGCGGCATCGTGCAAAGAGCGGGGTTTGAAAGCTTCGGCTAAGGCGAATGGTAAAGCGAATGGTTATGAACGGCTGGAGGGAAAGGCGTGAAGTTGCTTATACGCCCTTTGTGGGGGGGAAAAGAGCGTAATAAGGCAGATCCAGGAGCGCTAGAAGCGGTGGGAAGACTTGCAAGGGCCGAATTTCTCGCTCCGCTGCAAGAAGCCGGAGTAAAATAACCTCGCGTTTGCCTCCGTGGGTCGGGGAAGTTTGGCCTAGTTCAGCTCGTCGGCCCTATGTGGTGCGTAACCGCTCGGGACGTCCCGAAATGAAGGGAGCGGTTGAGCTTCGGCAGGTCTCGGACTGGAGTGACTATGTTCGAGGCCGCTGGCTGCGGGAGTTGCTGGATCAGCGTCCTTCCGGGGAGCCTCCCAGCCGCGTCCTAACCAGCCCCGACAAGCATCATCTGCTGCTCCTGTGGAACCCGCCGGCCTCCCTGCCTCGACTGGTGGCTTTTCAGCGCCTGGGGCTCGATGGAGGGGACCTGGAGAAGACCTGGAAGCCGCTTCAGCCCCCTGTGGTGGAGTTGCTTTTCCTGGAAAGCCCTGCCGCTGCCCCCGCAACTGTCTCTTGGGTGTTGGCTATCATTTGGGAGCAAGGCAGGACTGAAGTCTGGCGCTTTGTACCCACCGCTGGATGGCACTTGCTGCAGAGCCTGGAACTGTGCCACGGAGCCCGTGCTCGGATTGTCTCCATTTGCAGCTTGGGGGACCAGCTTGTGTGGTGTGAAGAGAGGCCTCCTTTTGATGCTCAACCGACTCCTGAGAGAAGAGCCTTCCAGTATTGTATTTGTGTTCGAGGCCTTCAGGTTGGAGAGCAGGGAGTCCAGCTGAGCCCTCTCAGGGTTATCTTGCACAATAGCCCTGTTTACCAAGTCTTGGCCAAACCCTCGGGAGTCTTCCTTGTCCCCACCCCAGCCACCTTCCCAAGAATAGCCAAGTTTGTCCTCATCTGGCGACCTGAAATGGCTGATATTGTTATTGCTGCGCCGCACGGCCCGTGTGTTTCCACAAAAGCCTCGCATGCTGGCACCGACGTAGACTTCAAAAAGCTAGTGCTGAGTTATGTGGGATTTTTGGAATCCATGACAAATTTGGCTGTTCACAGCTGTGCTCTATCCAGTTGTGGAGAGCTGCTCTTGTTCATGCAAACAGGCACGATCCAGGGAGTCCAACCTAATGGCGTTTGGCGACCTGTCTTTGACTTTGCAGGAAGCATTTTGTCTTCAGGAGAGCAGGTCCAACTAAAGGTATCTGGGGACATCCTGGCTTGCTTGCTGAAGGAGACTCTCTATCTTGTGGATTTGAACAGTAGAGAGCTGATAGAAAATAAAGTCCTGAGCACTGAAAGAGTACACTTTTTGGACTCTCCTACCATAGAAGAAGAAATCCAGCTCCTTGCTCAGGATGGCATTTATACTCTTGACTTTTCAGACTCTGATCAAGGCTACCAGTCTGAGCCCCACCTGGTGCAGGTGGTGTTTGAAGAAGCCTGCAAATACTATCAAAGACGGAGTCTCAGTAGTTCCCAACTCACTGTGGAGAAACTGAAGAAGGGGGGCATGTTTCAGGCTCCTGTCGCGCTGTCTTCCATCCTGAGCCACAGTCTTGATCCCAAAGGAAAAAAGCTCAGGGCCCTCCCAGAACCTTACACCAAGCTCCTGGGCACAATGCAGTTAGAACTGCAGAACTATCAAGATCTGGAGTCCCTCAAGTTGCACGTGGTTCAAGCTTCAGAAAGTGGGGTAAAGAGCTATGGTGAAGCCCTGGTGGAGCAAGAACTTAGCCGCCTTCTGCACTTGGACTTGAACAGAGAGAACTTGGCATACCTGAATGTCATATTCACTGCCTTCCCTGGAGCTTTCTGGAAAGCTGTCCAGAACCACCTCCAGCTACAAGAGAATGGGGATGGCGTTTTGGTAGCTAGAGCCACACCAGATATATGGAAAAAAGTTCTGGGGGGAGCTGCTCTTAGCCCAACTAAGCAAGAAGAAAGCTGTCCAAATGGAGTATTCCCCTTCTTTGAACTTGTCTGTCTTTCTCTTCTCGAGTTCAAGCCTAAATGGTTGCCTCACTTTGTGGAGCTATCCCAACAATATTTGGGTGCGTCTTGGACTTACAAAAGCAAAGAAGGGCCTGAGGGCGGTGTGCCTCTGTATAAGAGAGCCCTGGCTGTACTGCCAAGGTGTGCTAGATGTCCAGTAGCAGATGGAGAAATGGAAATTGAGCTCTTGCTCTGTAGCCAGAGGCCCAAAGCAATCCTCCAAGCCATGGACCTCCTTATCCAATATGGGAGATGGCAGCATGTGATGGAGACAGCGGAGAAATTCTCCTTGTTGAGCCCTTTGTTGAACAAAGAGATTTTTATTAATCTCCTGGGGGAATTTTCCCGGCACCGGGCACTGGACCCCTATTTGGACAAGTTGTGGGATCTCTGCCCGGCAGATATGAATGCCGGTGATGTCCTGAGCATTATTCAGCAACACCTAGCGTCAGTAGAGCTCAAACCGTTTCCTTCTGCACAAGATGGGTCATCCCAACCTACTATTGCGCTGCTGAAACCACTGTTGTACAGACTGGCACAAAGTGAAACATCCCAGAATGAAATTTTTGGTAATGTCTTACAGGTCCCATCCTTTCCCCCACCAACACCACCCAGGAACCAACAGTCTCTTCCGAAAGCAGATTCCCAGGAAAATCTAACCTTCTTTCAAAACCAAACGTAGTTTTTATTGTCTCAGGCAACATGGTATTTAAAAATGATTCTGCAAAATCAGGAGTTGCAGTCTTTGTATTCCAAGTTCATCCAACTAAAGTGGGAAGTAAAATCGCAGAATCATGAACTGTCAGTGACTTTGTTTGGAAGAGTGTAGAGCTTCTAGGAAGGATTGGAAACATTTTATATCTTTAAACTAGGGTAAATAAAGGCATCTCTTCCCTAACCTTTCAGATATGCTGGGATCGTAATTCTCAAAATGAGAACTCTGAATTGTACAGTATTTCTAGCACATCTGGAGGGCATCCATTGGGGACAGCTGCATATCAAAATGACACAATTGTTTCAGTAAAATTTGAAGTGTTACTACTGATGTACTCCTGTCCCTTCATGAATAATATTATGGGACTGTTTGATATTCAGATAACATGCCAATCTGCATTCATCAACTATATTTGTATACGAGTTTCACTGAGGAGTAGCGGTGTTCTTTTGTGCTCAGAAGTAGTCTTCCTCCAAGGCTGCTAGGTGGACTAGGGGTTGATACAGTCTAAGGCAGGGGTGTCAAACTCGCTTCCTTATGGTGGTGTCACGTGACGTATTGGGACTTTTTTCCCCTTTGCTAAACTGGGCGGGGGTGGGGCTAGCACGTGACGTATCTGGGCCGGGGGCTGTGAGTTTGACAACCTGGTCTAAGGCATCTGAAGAGATCAGATTGGAGAAGATTTCTCTAAACTCTTATTTCACGAGAAGAGAAAAAGGTTCTTGATAATAAGTCTAAAAGTTTCATTTATCAGCCGTACTTCATCCTAATGTTTTTGAAGCTCCCTAAATCAGCTACTGCTTCTCTGAAAATCACTCAGGTGTATCACAGATTTAAGCAATATTTATCTTAAGCAGTTTTGTTTTGACTGCCTTTATCTATGCACACCTTTGTCCCCCTGTACAGCCTTTATTTTTTTGCTTTTTAGAGAAGTTGAAAAGTTTCACTGTAATAATTTATGCCATATTTCTTTGTAAGAAAGTATAATTCTCCTAATGCTGCATTTCATATTTAAGCAAATTCTTCTTTGGTTTAAAATGGCAAGACTTGAAACAAAGTGCTACTATAATACAAGTCCTGACAATGTTCTTATTAGTCCACTCTGCTTTCCATTTAGGTAAAAATAGCCTTCTTCATCCAGATGGAGAACTTTAGCCTTCCAAACATTGCAATGCTACAATTTCTGGCATCCTCATGTCCTACATGTATAATGATAGGGTCTTTTTCTACATAGATTTAACAGAAATAGAGGAATCCTTAAGTGGTCTAATCATGAATAATTTTTTACTATGTGTAGGTAGTTGATGATACAGCATTGTTTTAATTCTCATGAAACTGATAGGATCATTTTTAAAAATCCATTTCCCCCCTGATATGATCCAAAAAAGAGGCTGTTGAATAAAAGGAAGGGTTATGCCACTTCAGTTCTGTTTTAGAGTGAGCTTAACAGCTGCTTTGCTGCCAACTTTTGATTTAAAAGGCAATGGGATACATGTGAAAACTGTTAAGAGATAATCTGAAGCCCTCACAAAATTTCTGAAATTTTTGGAATCCCAAGCGGTTTGATTAAGGCTCAGAAATGCTAGAAATTAAGGATGGTCACAGGTTCCCCACCTATTTTGGAAAGATGCCTGTGAACAGGAAATTTGTCTACTGTTTGTTATGTTGTAATTCTGTTGCCCTGTCCTACAGCTTGGAAAGTTTTTTTAGTATTTAGTAGGAAAAAGCTCTGTGGTTACATAGGACCCTGCCCGGATATCTGAGAAACATGAATGAAAGCGAACGTATCCATGGACTAGGCTTGAGTGGCCTTCACTGCCTTGGCGATCTGAGTGTAAAGCAAATATTTTTCTTTCCTGCTGTGAGCTTCCCCTTTCTGGAGTAGAAGATAGACATGTAGGTGAACGCAAGAGCTACTCCAAGTCTCCCTTTCGTCTGTCAGAAGCAAACAAGGGAGGTACAGGGGATGAAATAACACAAAACATTTGGCTCATATCAAACTGGCCATCCCAAATGCACAATATCTGTTACTTTCTATAGGTGACATTCTTCCAAAAACTCAAGCTTCCTCATTCCAGAGTCATTTTAAAATTATTTGAAGAGTTGAAAATTACTGTAAATGCCCCTCTTGATTATAAAGAGGCAAGGTTCTTTCTACAAACTGATTTGTTGTTAGTGCTGGCCTTCAAACAGAGGTTGGATGTTCTCATGAAGTAGGGGTGAAAGGGTAGGCAACCTTAAGATTTGCCTGGATGCTTTGTGCCATGAGTGCCTGGGCAGATAAATAGTAGACTTTTAAGGCTATTTTTAAATGAATAACTTTTAACGAGTAAGAATAAGCATTATATACTCCCGTCTGTATCTTCTATAGTATTTTTGTTAATTCATTCTGAGTCTTTTGTTAATGGGGATGAATACTAGTAGATAATTCAGTCTGACCTGGAAGAATGTCAGCTAAGGAAACAAATCATGTTTGGGAAGACAAATTAAAGCAAGCAAACTGCCAGCAGTATTTCTTTGTCTACTGAGCCATAGCACAAGAGTTGTGGCTTTAACTTCCCAGGTTCTATAAAACTGGGAATATCCCTAACTGGAATGTTCAGGGAAGAGTAGATTAAGGGTTCATTCAAATATTAAGAGATAATCGATTTGAAATTAGCTTTCATAATATGGGAGGGGAGTTGGAAAGAAGTGCAAAACATCAAGAGGACAGGTAATTGTTCGATGTGTACACCTACAATTATTAATTTGATGGAGCAGCTATTATGGTGAATGTTCTGGCTTGATCAGCCATTGAATTTTGAGGCAGGTATTCCTGTTGAATAAGTATTTGTCACACCGTTGCAAAAATACACCAAAATTATATTTAATACAATTTGAAATCATAGTTTCTTTTATTAATTAAAAATATTTTGAGTTCAACGAAACATAGCTTCCTGACCATCTTGGATTTCTTTCTTATACTGTAGCAAGACAGGGGCAACCAGCTAGTTTTCAAGCAAGGTCCAAAACTGGTTTCATGATGATTTGTTCTTGATTTATATTAATATTTAACGTTGCAATTCCAGTAGCAGCAAGATGGCATGTTTTGCGGGCCTCATACTTGGGGAACAGCAATTTATAAAAGCTAAGTATCCAAGGCCTACATCAAATCTTACAAAAGTCATGAAAAATATAATTTCTTTGAATTTACAAATGAAAGACAAACAATATTACCAGTAAAAATAATTATATTCATTCAAATGAGAAGCAAAAGCATGTATACAGATTCAAGTATCTTTCTTGGTAAAGCAATTAGGGAAGTGGAGTGGTGTCATTTTTACTCTAGTCTTTTTCAGTCCTGCTCCTTCATAGAATCAAATAAAATTTATTGTATAATAGAAATCACGTAATCCAGGCAACTGAATCTTTATCAAACTTAGTGGAAATAAGACTTAAATAAGACAGAAGCTGCTAGGAACAATTCCTGACTTAGGCTAAGTGATAGCATAATAATCATCTTGAATTGCTTCCCATATATTGTAGGTTTTCATAAACCCCTTAGAAAGAAAAATGGAGTTGTGGATAATTTGCTAGGGGAAGGTCACTTAATAATATCCTAGCAGTGAGTGAATAAAAGTGAAATATGTACATCCTACTATGATTGTTTGCAAGTTTGTTGCTGTGAAAATTTGGAAATATGAGCCACTCCCTGACCCCTAAGAAAATGTTACATTTTATGTAAACTTTACATTTTTTCTTGATTAATAAGGATTTCATTTCTTACTGTTGCTTTAAGTCATCCTTCACGCATTCTTCTAAAAGCTAATTTAGAACCAGAAGACGGAAAAATAATTTTGCTATTGCTGTTTCTGGAGCAAGAAAAATGTAGTGCAAAAGGTGGAAAGCACATAAAAAGGTTTCTGCTACTGAGCTGAGAATCTGATTTATTATAAATCCAAATGAGTTTCTTTAAAAGTTTTATATGCAAATTGAACAATAGAAAGTCAAGTAACAAATGATTCCTACTATCCTAATATTTAATACTTTGAAGTAAAATATTTGTACTGTTACATTCAGACCAGCAATTAATTTATGGGCTATACTTTGAATTAAGTCTATAACTCATTAAAAACACTACAGGTAGTCCTTAACAGCCACAATTGAGTCCAAATTTTTTGTTGCTAAGTGAGACAGGTGTTAAGTGAATTTTGCCCCATTTTATGACTTTTCTTGTTAAGTGAATCACCGCAGTTGTTAAGGTACTAACACAATTGTTAAATGAATCTGGTTTCCCCATTCATTTTGCTTGTCTGGTCACAAAAGCTGATCACATGACCCCAGGATACTGCAATTGTCATAAATATGAATCAGTTGCCAAGTGTCTGAATTTTGATCATGTGACCATGGGGATACTGAATTGGTCATAAGTGTGAAAAAATAGTCATGTCACTTTTTTCAGTGCCTTTTTCTTTGTTACTTTCAATGGTCATTAAGTGAATTGTTGTAAGTTGAGGACTACCTGTATTTCCTGCTACTAGTCCAGTCCTTCCCTAAACTTCAAATTTCCAATGCTGGCTAGGAATTATTTCACACATCCGGAGTGTCACAGATCAGGCAAGACTAATCTGAAAGGAAATCCTCATGTTGTTCCTCTTCCAAATGGTTATTGTATCAACTTTTCATTATTGGAGTCATCTTCATTTTGCATTAATCTAAATAAATTCATTTCTATTACTAATGTCTTAATAAATATTACTACGTCTATTCACCTCATAAGAAAAATTCCCCCATTCTCTTTGAGTATCACGTGTTTGACAAAATAAATTCATGGTTCAACATTATTGGGTATAATATTGGGGAGAGGATAAATGCCCAAAATATGCAAATCAAGTAATGTGAGGAAGGGGGAAAGAGAACAACATACATGACTAGATTGCAATGATATACTGAAGCACAAGACAAAATCTAGAAAGTGCTCTTGATAAAATTTAAGGCAATTCGTTCTTCCTGATACAGAACTGCTCAGTAATATTTCATTATGGCACATATTTGCTTTCTCTTCCAGAGTATCAACCTTTAGGTATGGAGTAGGTATTGATCCAGCAAGGCACTATTTGCAATTCAGCTTAATTTAACAAAGATTTCTAAATCTGTTGAGGGTCAAAAGAATTACTGTAAAAATGTTCTGCTATATATTGGGGTCTGTATAGTAATTCAGTAGAATGCAGTGATATCACTATATAACCCTTTGAATATCAGGGCTTTTTCCTGTAAAATGGACAGTATAAAAACTGCAAGCTTAATCTCTAGAGTAGAGTGCAACCCTCTTCATAGACTGAGCATACAGCCAAACTACACTTCTCTGTCACAGGGCTTATGGCACAGTAGTCTTGTAGGGAAAAAGCGGTTGCCATCTTACAAACTTGTTCAGGAAAAAAATGTGGCAAAGATCCACACACTGCACAAGGTCAAGAGGAACCCAATAATTCTCTTGACCATTGTTTGTTGCATTCATAGCTGCTCAGAGATGGAATGTTGAAAAAGGAAATGTTATTTCTTCAGCTCAGCCCGGGGCATTTTGAACATGCTTTGCCTTGACCTGTAACAGGAAAAGAAGAAATTAAGAAAATTGAACCTTGATGGTAAGCCACAATAAGGGTATGGATGATTTGGAAATAGGAAGCTTTAGAGATTTTGTTGTTTGGCAGCTCTCAGTCCCTCACTGTTGGCTCATGATATAAGATAGGGCTTTAAAAATGCTCTCTACCCTGATAAAATACCACACACTACTTTTTAGCATCACCGTAAGCATTATTTGTTGGTCGGCATGTGACAAAAACTTACAGTATTTGCAATGATGGTTGTTACCCACTCTGCAGACCATTATGTTCATTTCCTTGTTCCCTGTTATACAGGGAACTGCCTACTCTATATTTGGTATTCTCTACACCCCAAATGGCTTTCACACTCCTTTAGTGGCTAATTAAATAGCTCTTCTTTAGCCTAATACTGACATTTGCTTGAACTTCAATTCTTCTTAGCAAAGATTGCTCACAGATAGAGAAAAATACTCACAGTTCAAAGTTTTCCATAATCTCATCCCTAATAGAAGAAAGGGAGGAATAGTGTCAATGACGTGTATATATATGGACACACACACACACAGAGAGAGAGAGAGAGACAGAGACAGAGACAGAGACAGAGACAGAGAGCATATTGCCACATCCATATAACAGTTCTTACATAAACTAGACTGGAAACCACAAAAATAATTAGTGATTGAACTGGACATCATCACAGAGAGAAGCAGGGAAAAGGAAGATCTTCCAGTTACGCTATGGCAAGATTTCTGAAGCAGTTCTAAGAAATGTAGCCCCGGGAGATTGGAGGTACTTGCACAGATGATTCTGAAGAAATTTTCAAACTAGCTCATAGACAATATAGGGGGAGGGAGTAGCATGCCCAAGTACATAATTCATCCTTACTGATAGATGTCATCAACATTCATTCGACGATAAAACTTGGCAAGCCGCACAGCCAAGATGATACTTGGCAACAGAAAGATTGTGCACCAGGCCAGACAGAACCAGAAGGCATTCTAGGAGGGGAAAAGAGAAGGGATAAATTGTTGGAGGCAATGCTTTACGTGTTTCAGCACAGCTTTAGTTGGTTGAGACAGCCAAGAGAAATATCTCTCATGATAGACATATCTTCACACAGTAGGTATTTGCATCTTCTGGTCTTACTATCCATTAGCCTTCTTTATGGACCTCCCCTCTCACTCCCGTTTCTGTTCAGAAGCATGTGCACTTCTAATTTCTCCCTACAGTTTTTCTCAAAATTAAGACATGGGTTGTTACAGCAAACTGATGCCCAAGACAATTATAATGATATGCTCTTTTTACAATTTAGTGTTACATTCTGTTGTAACTACCATCTCTTGCCTTAATTCCATGCTGATATGATTAGCAATCCTACATCTCAATTAATGTTCTGATTAGTCCTACTGATTTTCTCACCAAAGAATCAACAAGGTAATTGCAGACAACGGTATTCATGCTATCCAGTGCCCAGGCTACAGGACCGCAGCGACCAAATTCTCCTATGATCTGCCAACAAAATTTAAAAGCAAAACAAAACATTTCATTAGAAGTTTCATCAGAGAAAACCAAGCTCTGGTCTTCTGGACAATACTTTTATTTGACCACCATATGTTTTGAAATCTACAATAATTTATTTTCCAACCCAGAAGGAAAAGTTCAATCCCTCAATAATTATATTCTGCATTTTCATTGCTGCCTTATACAATATACTATGCTTAAACCCAGATTAACAAAGCATAATTGCTATATTGAAACAAATAGATAAGTTTTGTCTGGGTCACCAAATCACTGATCTTCATACAACATACCAAGGGAATTGAAAGGTTCTTGGCTTAAAAAATCGTCATGCCTCTTGAGTCTACATGTTATTTGGTAAGGGTTTGACCAAGGACAGATAACTACATTGTGTTGGAAAGATAAAAGTGTAACCCAGCCAGTCCATCCTTATTCCATTAGAAATTATTGATAATACTTACAAAATACTCAACCCGTGTCACATAGGAGGAAAAATAATTCACTGTGTTCAATATAAAAGTCTTGGTCTCCTAGATGGAAGTAGAGAAGAGGATGGGTTCAAACCCAGGAAATGATTTGGTTTTGGGTGTAAATATTCTATATAAACTGCACTGCAGATCCATGAGTTTTGGAGCATAAATATAGCAATAGCACTTAGACTTATATACCACTCCATAGTGTTTTACAGACCTCTCTAAGAGATTTACAGAGTCAGCATATTGACCCCCAACAATCTGGGTCCCCATTTTATTGACCTTGGAAGGATGGAAGGATGGAGTCAACCTTGAGTTGGTGAGAATCGAACTCCTGGAATGAGCAGTGAATTAGCCTGCAGTACTGCATTCTAACCACTGCACCACCATGGCTCTATCCTATATAAATTGCATTGAAGTTCATGAATGGAAATGAAGCTCTAAAAGATGCGGGGGTGCGGGGGGAAGAGAAGGAGAGAGCAAGCAGAGCTCTTTCGTGCAAGATCTGCTAGCGATAATAAGGCTCTCGATGCTTAAATTACTTCTTTAAATTTCCCGCAAGCATAAGAAGCATGGCCATACTACTACAGGTAGTCCTGGACTTATGACTATTTGTTTAATGATTGTAGAAAAAGTGCCTTACGACCAGTTTTGAAAGCTAATACCACCATACCACTCCTATGGACACAGGAATGCAAGTGGCTCCCATTTACAACTGGTTGCAGTAACTTGTGGTCATGTGATTAAGACTGCCCAGCTATCTTCCTATAAGCAAAGTCAATTGGGGAAGCCAGATTCACTTAAAGATTGTGTGATTTACTTAATGATATGAACTGCTTAATGACTGCAGTAACCATGGTCATAAAATTGTGATCCAATCACGTGATGTCTTCCTTAATGACAGTATCGTTTATCAACCAACATTCTGGCCCCAACTGTGTCATAAGTCAAAAACTACCTATATTCATGAAAGTAGCACAATGTTGTTCAGAGTGTGAATTAGCCTAAGGTATCTACCTAGTGTCTTAATGAGTGGATTCCTTAAAGTAGCAGCATTTTCCCTCAGATCACTTAATGAACAACAGTACTCCCACAATGTCTGAAACACTTTTTCTAAATCATTTTTTAAGCATGCAGAGTCCTAGGAAGTAACAAGCTGCACCCTGGAGCTTCTGCTCATCCCGTTCTCGGTTTTTGTGTCCCACGTCTCACTTTAGATGGCTGGTGGTCAGTTCTGATCAAAATGCTGGGGCCAATTGGCAGAGTTTATTCACATTGTAAATAAACAAACATACTACGGTACTGATGAAGACTTACCTTTTTTATAACTTCCTCCGTCTGGTTCTTTATAAATGAATTGGTCTCGTTTATTTCTGACAGTGTGCGGTTTATCAGATTCTGGTGGGATATATCAGTGTTAGGTTCTTTCAAAAGCTTCTGTTCAAGTATATCTGAGCTGTTTGCTCAAGGAAAATAGCTTACACACTAGCATCACAAATCCCACAGCATATTAAAAGCTGGGATATGTCCTTTGATATATTTTTATTAAATTAAACATGAAGGGAATGATGTCAATAAGCATTTTAAATCAATTATATTCAACATCACACAAATAGCTCCGCTTATGCTATAGGTCAGAGGTATCGCACTGGTGGCACGCGGGCCGGATGAGTCACACACAGGCCACGCCCATCCCAGTTCTGCGAAGGGGAAAAAGTCATATGTCACGTGACGTGGCAAGTTTGACACCGGTGGTATAGATGGACCTTCCATACTCATTCTCTCCTTGGTGTGATGTCTACCAATCACTTAACTGTGTTCAGTCTTGTCATAAATTTAATAAATTTAAATCCTTTTTATGCCAAGATAAATTTTTGAACTCTCCAACTTGCACTTAGTAATATGAAGTCATTATTTTCTATCTCTTATCTCAAGGCCCAAACAGATTGGCCTGTAGCAGAACTTCTGAAATAGAGATAGCTCCTTTTATCTATACAGAAATCTTTAGGAGCCCTAGAATCAAAGGGCTCTTTCCCAGTTTTTCACTTCCACCCAGCCTGCTTACTGGAATTTGAGGTGTAGATTTCCGCAAGCTCTGGACACTTCTCTTCAAGGCATGCTGAGGGAGAAAACAAATAAATTCTTCATTCAGTGATACCAGGTTTGGTCAAATAAAATAAAGAGAGACAAGGGAAACCACACTCACAATTTCTGGAGGAAATTTGAGGTTTATCCACTTTTGGATCTCCTTCAGCTCATTAGCTTGACGTTTCAAATTTGTCTTTGTATCATCGGTTGTCTGTAAATGAATGAAAGAATGAATGAATGAATGAATGTGTGTGTGTGTGTGTGTGTGTGTGTAGTTATATATAGTTATACAGTATATATATCATATATATGATTATTTGTTTTTATACACACAGTATTCATTAAACTTGACACTGACTCATATCCAATTACCATTTGTGCTCTGTAATTTCAATGCCCCATTTCACTCCACTCTCCCTCAACCATTACCTTCTGGTTCAAAACAGGTCCTACTCCAACTATTTCAGTGAGGCCAGGATTTAGTACTGAGACAGTTTGTTCATGCTTACTGATTGAGCGTATGGTTGAGCCAAGATGGAGATCACGTGTTCCTTGATCTCTTAGCAGCTTTCAATATCATTGACCATAGTATCCTGAGATAACTTCATGGGTTAGGGATTGGCGGAGCAATTTTAGAGGGGTTATCGTCCTTTCTCTAAGCCCAGACTTATTCCATTTTTGAGCATGGAAGAGGTAATACTGCCTCTCAATATTTGGTGTGCAATCTAGGAATCTTCCTGGACTTGCAGCTCCTGCTGCGACCAGAAGGGTGTTTGAACTTCTGGCATACAGGTTTTGCTCTTCCCTAGATTGGGAATCCCTTCAGGTAGTGCTCATGCCTAGTCACCTTCTGGTTTGTCTACTGCAATGTGCTCTATGCTGATTTCCCTTGAAGACTTTTCAGAAGCTTCAACTGATCCAGAATGCAATGGCAGGAGTGGTGATGCACATGCCTTGGTATATCCATTTAACATCTCTGCTTCGCACTGGTTACTAGTTTGCTTCTGGATATGATTTATGGTGCAATTCAAGGTTACCAGCCATGCCTTTGGCGAGGGTGAGTGAGACTTCTCACTTCATTCCATCTGGTCTATTGTGCTTGCCATCTTTTTTTCTTTAACTTTCATATTTTATTTTTATTGTAATGTATTTGATTGATTATTGTGAGCTATACACAGTTGTAGGGAATCAGGTAGCATACAGCTATTATTATTATCATCTCTTTTATTCATTAAACATGAAACTCAATCAGCTGAACATTTAAAAATGTATCACAAATATCATTGACTGGCTTTGATGGTAGATACAGGTTGCTGCCAGCATCCTAGGTATCAACCAAGTATCTTTAAAATGTACGTTGTTCCAAGTAGAGCAGTCTTTTGCAGCTCCGCTTGCACTACAGCAGGAAGCTGCAACTTCTTGATGTATTTTGCAAAACTCTTGGACATGGTACCAAGTGCCCCAATGACAATGGGTATTTCATCCATAAATGTGCAATTTCGATGGCCAGGTCACTATATTTCGTGTTTTTTTCCAGTTCTTTTTCTTCGACTCTGGCATCTCCTGGCACAGCAATATCAATAAATTGCACGCTTCAGCTCTCGACAACCGTAATATCTGGCGTGTTATGTTCCAAATGTCGATCTCTCTGTATTCATAAATCCCACAAGATCTTCACCACCTCATTCTTGACAACCTTTTCCACTTTTTATTTTTTTTCTACTTTCCGCCCCCACAAATAATAATAATAATTATCATCATCATTATTATTATTCAGATCTCGTTATTTTTGTGCAGTTCACTGCCAAAGCTATTTGAAGGCCACATTCCAAGACACTATTTAGAAAAGAATTAGTTTACATCTTCCAGTGGCAGCTGAGAGAATAGCTGCATCTGCCAAATTCCCTGTCTACTCAAAAGGATTTCCCATAACATCTGCTGTGGATCTTAGAAGTTGAGGAAGAACATTATATGGGATCGTGTGGGTATCCTTTCCCAAGGAAAACTCACGCTATTTGCCACTTCTTCCAACTTATTAGCCAAGATATTCAGGTCCTGTTTGGTCAGATTTTGGTTAAGCTATAGAAAAAGAAGAAAAAGAGAACACAGAAGTCAAGCAAACAAAATACCCTTGAATGAATTAAATATGGAATTGAAAGCAGATTTACTTTTGAGTATTTCTGCATATTTTCCAGTCAGTAGTCATGTTTTAATATAATACATGTTATTGTTTTTCCTCGTCTCATCACTAGGAGGAATGAGTTCACCTCATCCCTCTTTTCTGCTGATCCACTAGCAACTGTTAGATTATTTGCTTTTGGATACATAGGCATTTTTATGACTGTTTTCTGACAGCACAGCAATCCAACAAGTTTTCTGATTATAAGGACTAGGTAAAGTGTGTCCTGTTCACAACAGCATTAACAGGCAAGTTGATCAGTCATGCTAGCCTATTTGATCACTGCTTAATTACTCATTGTAATTGCTATTATTTATAAAGAATGACATGTTTTTATTGCATTTTTATTATTTCATTATATTATATTGAGATGTTAATCTATACATATTGTACATTTTGTAAATACTCTGTCAACTGTTTGGCTATAGATGGTAACCTCACGGCTTCGCCAAACACATCACAACTGGAGCAGTTGCCAATAACCTACTTTGACAACATCAAGTCAGAATCCTTCTAGTAGTAGACTCTTAACTTCTCTAGCAGGGAAACAGTAATGTGTTCCCCAGCAAATGTGAACATCGCCCATTCTCCAACAGAGCAGTTGGAGAAGGTACAGAAGAATGTCTGGTCCTTATAGAGCTCCTGTTCTGGGAAGGAAATAATAACAACCGTTTTCCTTTCTTTCACAAGCCTTTTCTTTATTTTCCATCTTACTTGTTCAAGGGTACTGTTAAAATCCACATTCAGAGGCCCATCTTTTGCACTCAGTTTCAGCAAGCTGCGTTTTTGCTCATCCTCCAGGAGTTCAATAGTTCCAACATTGATTTTTATTTTATCCAAGGTTGAATTAATGTTTTGAGTGTACTAGAAAAACGGAAATGCCAGATGAGTATAAGCAGAGCACAACTTCATTTGTTCTGCAGTACATTCTCTAGAACCATTCAAGGGGGCTCTAGCTGTACCCTATACTTAAATGCTTAAACTATTCTTGGTGACAACCCTAAGCTGATGTTTGGGAACAAAACGTTAACTGATGATGGCATTTCTCTAGCACCAGATTGATTCAATATAGGCAGCCATCAGTTACCTTGCTGAGGTTGAAGGTGTCATTCAAAGAGACAATCTCATCTAGGTGAAAGGTACTCCACAAGGGTGCATTTTCTTCGCAACTCCTTTAAAAGAGGAATAATTTGAGTTGAGAGGCTAGGATGCATATTATGTGAAGCATAAATTGGATAAAAGCATCTCCAGTTTTCCACATTAGGTCTCCCCACACCACCCCTGCTCCATAGCTAGAAAGCTCTTCAGAATGGCTCAAATGTGCTGGTTTTTTTCTCCAAAAGACAGCTGGGCTTCCTTGGTATTTTCTTTGAACTGAAGAAGCTTCTTGAATGAGAAGTGAAATATTTTCAAAGAAAACACTAACAAAGTTCAGTTGCTTTTTGGAAAAAAACACATTTGGGACAACCATGACCTAGATCAGTGGTAGCTAACCTTTTGGGGCTCTCATGCTGATAATTGCGCGCATGCTTGCCTGCTTCTGCTCGCGTGCCATCACCCAGAAGGCAATGCATGTGGCCCCTCATGCCTCCTGCGCATGCATGCACGACCTGTGCAACCCAAGCTGCGTGCTTCTGCGCATGTGTGTGCAACCCCCTGCACACACTGCATGCTTCTGGACATGCATGAGTGTCTTCTACACGCCGCTGCACCCCTGGACATGCACGCTAGGTACCCGACAATTAGCTGTCGGGCGCACGCGCAATACACCTTTTCTGGGTGAGTGCTTGCATGCCAACAGTAATGCCATAGGTTCGCCACCACGGACCTAGATGATTGAGAATCTCCAAAAACACCTTCAGAATGGCCTTACTGTAGAAGCAGGCGCATTACAGGTAATCCTTGACTTACAACAGTTAATTTAATGACCATTCAAAGTTATAATGGTACAGAAAAAAGTGACTTATGATTGTTTTTTACACACTTATGACCACTGAAGTATCCCCATGGTCATGTGATCAAAATTCAGATGCTTTGTAACTGATTCATAATTATGACGGTTGCCCTGTCCCAGGGTCACGTGATGTCCTTTTGAAACCTTCTGACAAGCAAACTGACAAGCAATGTAGAAGCCGGATTCACTTAACAACAGTGTTACTAACTTAACTGCAGTGATTCACTTAACAACTGTGACAAGAAAAGTTGTAAAATGGGGCAAAAGCAAAACACACTTAATATTTCATTTAGCAATGGAAATTTTGGGCTCAATTGTGATCATAAGTTGAGAACTACCTGCATTCATTCCTATCACTTGCACACATAAACAATATAGCCGTCTTCCTTGCAAGGAGCAGGTAAGAAAAGTTCAGCTTTTGCTGCCACTGATAGCAAAAATATGTACATTGTTTTCAGCTGCTTCACTGCAATTACAGCAACCTGGTCCTGTTACTTAGGTGGTCTACAGACTCTCTGGGAGCAAATGGAGTGGAAGGATGGGCTGGAGGTAAAAGGGACTCATTCACTGGGGGAAACTGAAGGGACTTGCTCAGGAGAATTCTGTCAAGGTAGGACCTAAAGCAGTGGTCCCCAACTCCATGTCCTTGGACTGGCAGCGGTCTGTGGCATGCCAGCAACCAGTCCACACAAACAAGCAAAGCTCTATCCGTGGGATGCAGGCAGCACGCAAAACCACGCCCTTTCCGGTCCACGGAAAAACCTTTCCCCCTGGAAGGTTTGGATTCCTGGTGCCCAAAAGGTTGGGGGCCACTGACCTAAAGCACATTATTTGTGTAGAGATCACAGGCTGGGAATATGGTTCATATGATAGTCTAGCAAGCTTTTACTCGTTTATAAATAATTTAATCAGTGTAGCACTTCCATGTATTTCATTACTGGTTGATAAGCAGCTATGTCCCTCTTCTGTACAAGGTTCTGTACAACCCCCAAAACCTATTTCATTAGGCCTGCAACATTTATGTTCTCTCCAGATTCTCTTTCTCTGTAAGGAAATGGAAGAGAAACACAATGGCAGTTCAGCCAAGCAGACTGGCACTTACTTATATATGCTGGTCAGGTTTACATCAGAACCGTTCAAATTCATGAGCTTTTTCACACTTAATTCAGGGAACAACCCAGATGTGTCCAGGTACTACAAAAAAAGATAAGTAGCAGCTGATGAAACCTTTCTAAATTTTCTTAAACTCTTTACTGATTCCTCCAGCTGTATTTTCTCCCCTCCTGAAGCTGAAACTGCTGCAGCCAGAAACTAAAATAAAAATGACTTATGAAAGTTGAAAGAGGGAACTGCAAACAAAGATTGCAAATTAATGTATACCATTATTAACTCTATAACCATGAGCTATCCTTCCATGTATCACAATATTTATGCATTTATTTTATTAGGCTTATGTGCAACTTCAATGATCAACCAACTCTGAGCAGCCCTGTCTCCTCATTCCTAATCATGAGGGGGACTCTTAGAAGTTATAAACACAATAGCAACCTGGGTGGCTTACCTGAAGGATAATTCCGTTGGCCCAAGGCCGGCACACCAATGTGTATGAATTGCCCCCAACTAAAAATAGTACTAGAACCAGCAACATCAGCAACCATGAAAATATAAAGCTGAATCCAACACTCCTGTCATGAAAGATGAGAAACAATCAGAAGTCTACAATACAACTATTGATTTGGATGTGAACACCCCACAGAAATTCCTACAGTTGGGTCTTATATTCTCATGTTGCCACTTCTGTGAAGATCCCTAGAGCAAGGCAGGCAAACAATGTGCTGAAGCAAGTAGAGGACATTCTCAACTTAGTAGTGTACTTTGCCATCAACAGTGGCACTTGTGTACAGTGCCACTCTATGTTTTCCTGGTAGGAATCTATGCCAAGTGTAAAATTAGAAAACTTTCCATAAAGTGATTTCTCCAAACCAACTAACATTACATAGAAATACAAGCAGCGTTTGTGGCTATGATCTGGAAGGATACAAAGAGGTTATTGTCAGTTATTTCCCTATACTGGGCGGGGAGAGAAGACAACACTTCTTACGCCATAAGGAAGTTTCCACCAGTGTTGGAGAGGCAGCCACGTTTGGTAGGCCATTGCATTCCATTTGGATCTAGCCCAAGACCACCAAGCAAAAGGCCCAACACATTGAATGCAATTATTGCAAGCAGCAGGCAGCAAAGGCAGACGCCAACACCCCACCTACAGTGAAAGAAATCAACTAGTTAACACTCAGACTTTAAACAACAATGAAGGAAGGAAGGGGTGAAAACATGCTCAATGGGGTCAAATCAGTTCAATTACCATTAAGTTGAAATCAGAATAAGATAGGACTATGCTGTGCACAGACTAGCAGACTAGCTTTGTTCAAACCGGATGTTTACCAACCAGGATTATAATTTTCTCAATTAACCAAATTTTCTCAGGTGCATAACACATTAAATCACAAAGGGTTTGCATTCTAGGCTAAAATGTGCTTGGATCATTTGTAGCTCAATGTATTATGAACACAGGCGCTAGAAATTAAAGGAAGTAATGAAAACAATAAGATCCAATTCAAACCCAGAGCACAAGAATTGGTATTAAATGCTGATTTAATGATAAAATAGAGCATTAAGTTTTTGCAGATTAGAGGTGCTGGTCATTCAAACAACAACGTTTGAAACAGTACCTCAGAGAACTCTAGAGGCCTCATTTTTCTTCTGAGCTACACCATATTTTTCTATGACTGACCTTCTGCCTGCTAAAATGGAATGTAGATATCATTCCATCTGAACTCTGAATTCAAGTAATTCTGCAGCATATGAAAAATTGAGAAAAGTTTTATTCCTACCTGTAGCCATCATATGAGACCACAAGTGGCTTGTAGTAATTTGCCTTCTTGACAATATTTTCCATGAATGCAGAGACGTCCTTCAGTGAGATCTGCTTGTACAACTTATCACTGATTGTATTAATTCCATTCTTGATATCGTAAAGTACATCTTGTATCTCTTTAATAATAGGAGCCAACACAGATAAACTCATTATACTATATGTATTATCATGGACCACCTAAACAATAACAATAATCCAAGGGCAATGGATATGCTAAATTCTCCAACTCGTATTCTGTACAGATACAATTCACATTGCATCTTAATCTAAATGATGCAATTAAAACCTTTTATTGATGCAAATCAAATACTTCTATTAAAGCATCTTTAACAAAGCAATAAACAACAGACAAAGCTGACTGTAAATTCTGGGAGTGAAGATTACATTTTTTTTTTGGAGGGATCAGTTTCCATTAAATGAAATAAACTAAAGTCAGGGTGAAGCAGGAGCAGGAAAATAGCTGCACATGGGAAGAATAAGTAGAATAATTCAGGAAACTAAATATGTTTGAGCAAAGAAATTGAAAAACAATATATCGTATCAAAACATAGGATATTTGTCTAATACTGCATCAGAGCTTCATCTTACGCATATTAGCTATACCAGGGGTGTCAAACTCGATTTCATTCAGGGCCACATCAAGGTTGTGTTGGATCTCGGGGGGGGGGGGTTGTAGGAGCGTGGCCAGGGTGGGTGTGACCAGTTCAACATCACTCGTGATGTGATGACCTCCTGCATCCTTCTACCAGTGAAAACAGACCGCAGGAGCTCCTTTTTCACTGGCAGATGGCTGCAGGAGGCTGTCGCAACTGAAAATAGAACTCAGGAGGGCTGTACGTGGCCCCCACGAACTCCGTTTTTGCTGGCAGAGGGCTGCAGGTGGCCATCATGGCTGAAAAGAGAGCTCGGGAGGACCGCATGCACTCCCCTTAGCTCCATTTTTGCTGGTAGGACTGCAGGAGGCGATGGCAGCCCAAAACAGAGCTCGGGAGGGCCGCAGGAGGCATTTTCATTGGCAGAGGGCTGCAGGAGGCATTGACACCGTGTGGCCCCCAAAGCTCCATTTTCACTGGCAGAGCACTGCAGGTTGGTCCTTTGCAGGTTGGTCCCTCCAGGGTGGCCCCACGGGCCAGATCTATTCACCCCACAGGCCAGATCCAGCCTGCAGACCTTGAGTTTGACGCCCCTGATCAACACTGTCTAATGTTCATACAAACCCCCAGGATGTTTAACCATTTTAATGGTTAATTAAGCAAGCCATAATGGTCTGATTCATACATAGATAGGATAAATGTGTGCCTTTACACAGGTGTAAAAAAAAAAGGGAAACCGATTAGACTGTGCAAATTCTCAGAGGGACAGTGCTTCTCAACTACTTCTCAACACCTGAGAGTTTTTATAAAAATCAAAAGGGTACCTGCACAGAAGTCTATTGCACCTTCTCAGTGCCTGAGAGCTTCCTTCCAGCCTTCTTCTACTTTGTGATTGGTGGACTCTCCTCTATCTCTAACCGTTGGAAACTTCTAAAAGTTGGAAAAGGCTTCTACACAAGTATAGCGCTTCACTGAAGCCTTTCTTAACTTGCACAGATGTTAGAAATAGGAAACTTGGAGATGACATTGGCTGAGGGTAATTTTGTTGCACTCTTGATTCAGTGAGAACATACTGCATCCACAATGTGAATGTCTTTAGAGTGGCAAATAATTACATAAGACAATAAACCACCCCCTAAGTTAATACAGTAAGCAAGCAGGGTAGCAGTTCTTCAGAATTTCTGCTATGGATCTCTTGAGTCCTACCTGAAGAAGCCAGAGACTGGACCTAGGCTTTTTTGCAAGCAAAAAGTGTGCCTTACTAGTAGGTTTGGTATATATGGGTATTAATTACTTAAAATCTACACAATACTGACCATTGTATTCACACCAAGAGCGGAAACATCACTAGGCAAAAAATACTGACACTGACATTAGTGCATTAAAGAAGCCACCAAGACTGTGGCTTGGAAGGAACTGAAATAATGGCATCCTAGCAAAGTAAAGCATTTACCGTAAATGTCTGAGTACAGTTCAAAGTGCAGCTTATGATTTATAAAGCTGTACACAGCTTGGGCCAAGGCCTTTTGAAGTGCCATCAATGCTTGCCAAAATCCTTTGGAGACATCCTACCCTTTGAGCAGTGGTGGGATTCAAATATTTTTGCCACTGGTTTGGTGGGTGTGGCTTGGCGGGCGTGCTTTGTGCGCATGCACAAACTTTGCATGCACACCTGTGCAAAATGCACACTTTGCGCAGGCGCAGAGGCATTCTAACTTGCCTCCTGCAAGCCTGCACGATCCTGATCGCTTCAGTTGCTGCTGCACGGCACTCTTCTGTGCCGCGCAAAGCAGCTGCGCTTCAAATTCAGCAGATAAAGGTGAGTATGGGACTCCCGGTGGGCAGGTGGGCCCAACAGCAGAGTGGCGAAGAGAACTGGTTCAGTCTCCGCTGCTCATTGCTGCTACTGTCTCACCAGAACCAGCCCGAACCGGTAGAATACCACCACTGCCTTTGAGGCATATTTGGTGAAAACCCAAGAAGACACATCTTCTGTAGCTGTTCCTGGGCTTTGGAGCCCTCTTCCAGAGGTGCCAGGTTTCCTTCTAACAGGAAGCCAATATATTTATTCGGAGAGGCTTTGGGCCATACCACAGACCTTTGTCTTACAGAGATGCACATACAGAGAGATAGAGATACATACATTTCTAACTGTGTGTTAATTATCAGTAGACTCTCAGTCTATATATTATTGTTATTAATAACTATATATTTAGTTACTATTTGTAGCACCTTTCAACATTGTCATTAATTGTTTTAAATAAATAGTTGGCAGGAATTCTTTTCAAATATCAAGATCACATAAAACTGGGTAGATAGCTAATACTGTAGGATAGCCCAACCCGGGCTAATATTGGGACAGTGTTTCCAGATGTATAATTTTCAACTCCCAGAATTTTCCAGTCAGTTTGGCCATTCCTGAAAATGCCAGAAGTTTTAAAGTCTGCATATCTAGAAGTTTTCAGGTTGGGGAATATTGTGCAAGAGGATTAAAACCCAGTACAAAATTATATTGGTAGATTTGAGAAAAATCACAAAAGTAAATGTACTAATGAAACAAAGGAAGATCTTCACTAAGGAAAAAATAAAATAAATGAACAGGTGGAGAGCATGGAAGGATATCTGGCCTGATAATGCTAAATCTGGGAAAAAATATTTACAACTGAATAGGAATTGGCAACTCAAAATATGGCTACTCAGAAGTCAAATGCAGTTTTAGATTGTGTGAAAAGTACTTCATTTACCTAGTCAGGAGAAGTTATAATTACATTCTATTCTGTGTCCAGTTCTGGGTGCCACATTTTAATAGAGGTTCAGTTAAAAATTTGCAGAAAAAAGCAACAAGGGGATTAAAAGATAACTCTTATTTTTAAAACAAAGTCGAAGCAAATTGGTATGTTTAGACCTGAGCAAATATTTTGGAAGGGGAATATAAGAGCACTTTTCAAGGAAATGAAGAGGTATCATTCAGAAGTCAAGACCTGTTCTGTATCTCTGAGATGGAATGATGGTCATAAGAAACAGGAAGAGAGATTCTAGCTGAATGTTAGAAAATACTTCCAAAGGTCACCGTTTGATAGTGGAATCAAGTATGTGAAACATGGTGAGCTGTCCTTCAGGGCAGGGGTCGCCAATCTTTTGGACTTCAAGGACTACCAAACTCATAATTTTAAATCCCGTGGGCCACTAATATGAATTTTGACTGATGGTGGCTTGACGTTGGTAGGAGGGGGGGCATCTGATCTAACCTCGGAGGGCTGGCAGCGATGTTCTCTCTCTCTCTCTCTCTCTCTCCCTCCCTCTCCCTCTCTCTCTCCCTCTCTCACACACCCTCCAAGGCAGCCACATTCCTAACCTGCTTTTCAGCTCCGTTCTCAGGGAGGGGAGAGAGAGAGAGACGCTATCCTGCAATCCCAAATAAAGAACTACTGATCGGTAGGCAAACAGGGTGGGGGATTTTCCTGCAGACTTTTTGGGGGGATTTTCCCAGGGTCTCTGTCTGTAGAGACAGAGACCCTGGAAAAATCCCAAAAAAAGTCTGCAGGAAAATTCCCCACCCCATTTTCCTACTGATCAATCATTCTTTATTTGGGATTGCAGGATACTGTCTCCAGCTCCATTCTCAGGGAGAGAGAGAGAGAGAGAGAGAAACTTTTGGCTTCATGCAAGGAAAGCAGCAGAAGTCTTTCTTTCCCTCCCCCAAACTCCACCAGAAATGAGTCTTTGCCAGCGCAGCCTCTTGGAGCAGGATGCCTTGCAGGGTCCCAAAGACTCATTTCCGGCGGAGTTTGGGGAAGAGAAAGAAAGACTTTTACTGCTTTCCTTGTGTGCAGCCAAAAGCAAAAGAAGAAAGAAGTGGAAAGAAGCAGCCTGGTAGACAGGCCAGGCACATGGGGTGAATGGGGCAAGTTCCCCTTCTCCGCCATTTCCCCCCTCCCCTCACTACCTCATGTTGTTCACAATGCAAGTGACACAAGCCTTGTATTCCCGCACAGCCTGGATTAATTGCTTTGGGGGGTACTTTGAGGGTGACATTTCTCTGCGGACCACCAAAATTTTCTCACAGACCACCAGTGGCCCACTGATTGGCGACCACTGCTTCAGGAGATGTAATCTGGCATTATTTTGAACTTCTGCATTAAGGAAGTAACTCAATTAATGTAAAAAAAACCACAGAATAATGTGTGAAATGAAGAAGAGATTCTCTGATTGGGTTACTTACCAGACACCTCCTTTTTGGTTTGATTAGAGACTTTCTGTGGTATTTCTTTAATGAAATTTCTTGCCTACAAGCAAAAGGAATACAGTCAGACAAAGATGAACACACACACAAAGCTCAGATCTCAGAATGTAAGTCAAGTAAAACATGACCCCAAATTGCTGAACAAAAGACAAAGCCCCAAGAAGATACATTTGCTATTTCTCCAAATTAACAGATTTAATCCCTTTAGCGGACATAGGACAGGTCTCATAAATAGGGTTCATCAGTCCATGAACAAAATGGCTCCAAACAATGACCAATGATTGTTGAAGTGACCATTTTGTCTTGTTCCTCAACCTCTTTTGGGCAAGCCAACTTATTGCACTGGCACTTGGGAGTAGATACTTGAAAGAATAATTGTAGAAGAAAAGGAGGGTGTTACCTCTATTACAGTACTGTTGAGATTTAAACTTGTCAGATTAGATATCAACTTAAGTGGATCACTGACATCAGGAATCTGCAGAAAGAAATAATGCAGAAACATATATTTTTATTGTTTGATCAACCGCAATTTGAGCAATGGGGAATTCAAGTAGGATGAAGTGAAGACACATAAAGCAACAGCTGCCATATAGAAATGTAACAATTGTAACACATATGGATGACTAGGAGTTAATGAACACAGATCTAGACATCTTGAAAACATATTCCTACATTGTAACCTATTCTATATTGTGTTACAATTGGGGCACATTTGATTTTATGGCTTCTGATTTCAGCCTCCCATGGATCAATAATCTCAGCAGTCTTATCCCAATTACATTATGCTTCCCTAGCCTGACTTTTAAGATGCATCAGGAATTGTATTTCTATGTCCCCCCAACGCATTGAACAGTTCACCATAACTCTGACCCAATCTTTTCCTGTGCCGTCAAATAATCCACCCTGCCCATCCAAATATTTTTCTCTCCTCCAAGATTCATTCTACCGTATCAAAATTGGCCTCAGGTATCAGGTTCTCTATGGACACTTCCCCACATGGGCTGCCACATTCTTTCAGAGTGCCATTGATCTCAGTTCTCAGGTCAGTCAGATTTTTATTCAGCTCCTGTTGCATTTTCTGCAAGCGACCACCAGTCTGGTTGACTTTCTGGAGTTCCTGGTCTATGTGCTGAATGTCTGTTTAAAAAAAAAAGTAGGAAGGACTGAGTAAAGACTGAGGAACAATTCCCCAACCTAAAGTGTCCACTTAGTTCTTGATTGTAAAAGAACTCGGAGCTGATTTTGTGCAAGATACAAGAAACCATTAAGGAAGGAGTTGGACATGATATTGCATAGTCCAGAAATAGAAGGAAGCATGAGAAAGGAGCTCATATAAGGCCACCTTGATTTTGCTTGGTATAAGATGGGACAGAGAGAAACTTGGACAGGCTATCAAGATTCGGTGATTATATCCTATAACAATAAATGGCATTCCTAGAATTCCGTTGTCTGTTTCTTGAACTGGTCTACCTCAAAAGACTGGCACTGATTTTGTCCACAGGTAATTACCCCTCAAACATTTAAAACATAATGAAGTCAATCAATAGGTCTCCAGCAGTTTCACAGTCTTTGGTTCCCATGGTTTGGCTCTGGAGGGAAAACCAAGAACTTTTTTCCTTGTCATGGCATCTCTTATGATGAAGTTGGCAAATCACTTGTCCCTGGAACTATAACAAAGTCTAGGGTTTTTTTTTCATGAGAACTTTCTGTAAAAGTTCCTTCAACTTCTGGGCTGCCCTCTATTATCAATGTATTTGTGCTTCCATTCTACTATTCTATCCCAATATCATTTCCCAATCCAGTGTCTTGCAATACCTTGAAGAAGCTGCTCAGTTGTGTCTAATACTTTATTTGCTCGTCCACCTAGTTCATCCTTAATCTTGCTCCCCAAGGTATTGGCAATATCTGCAAAAAAGGAAAGCATCAACACAAAGTTAGTAACAGAAATACTTTTTCCACTGCCCTTTCTCTGTAAAACCCCATGGCCATTTAACATTTTTAGGATGGATGGACAGAAATGTGCAAATGGAAATATGTTTTTGCGTATACTTTCTGATTTGACCATACCCATTTTTCCTTCACTTTACACACACAAGCTCCGCAAGAAATGATACGATTCACATCAGTTGACCTAAAAGAGCTTGTCCATTCATGCACTCAAAAATAACAATACAAATTTGTATCCCTCCTATATTTTGTACAAGGTAGCATACATAATGCTCTTGCCTCCTATTTCGCTAGAATGGAAATATTCAAAGGTATTTTCCTAATCTGTAACTATAGGATGCGGTGCAATAATGACATTTCACAAGTTGAAACATTTTCAATATATCATTGTGAATCCCATAAAAAAATTGTATCCAAGGCATAAACTTACTCAACAAGCTATCATTGACCTCCTTCAATGGTACTTTACTAGAGCTGACAATTTCATTAATCTCCTGTGGGAGAGATGAAATAAAATCCCATTGTAGCAGAGAAGATAGCACACAAAACTAAAATCCTGAACTCAGGATTCATGGATTCATGGAGATTATGAGGAAAAACATAGGATGTCATATACAATTCGAACACAACACTATTCAAATATGTCTATTGTAGCAAAAGGCCTTCCTATATGTTTGCCAGATATAAAGTCATATATTGACTATTCGTATATAGATTCAGATGGCAAAGTCGCTGTAACCATCAGAATTGTTGAACGAGTCATTATATAAACATCAAAGACTGAAATATAGTACACATAGAAAATAGATCCTATATTGCCCTGAAACAATATTTGTTGAAGATTTTAGTAGACTACTTCTAAGGAACTGTCCTATGAGGTTTTTGTCACCAACAAAAAAAAAGATACACAAAATAAATGCAATATTTGGTTCTGGAGGTAAATGAGGGAGGGAGGGAGAGGGAAAGAGATGGGGCTAATTTTGAAGGTAGTCTAGAAATATCCATTAGTACAAAATACAGAATAATGGGAATAGACATTATGGCCATATGTTTCCTGCACTAGCTCATTTCAACTAAAAAGAGTTGATACCAACCAATGAAGTCCTTCGCAACTTGGGGCCACACCTTCTGAAAGGATGTGCCTTTCCGTTAACTGTAACTTGTGTATTACAGTCACCTTTAGAAGTCCTACTCTAAATGCCCTCCTATCCTGAAGCACGGCCATCTGACTAACAGCTCTCCAATTTTGGCATGGTCTCGTTGAAGATAAAGCTTGACAACCACTTTTTTGATACTAAAAACTAAGGTGGCAACTGGAACTGATACATGAAAAACACAGGATAAAATAGAGCGGTAAAGATATAATATAGAGCAAGTCACATTTACCTGAGGTATAGAATTCAGGTAAACATTCAGGTTGCTCACTGTATTGTTGAAAATGCCAAAACCTCTCCCTAGACCCTGGGATATTCGTTGGTTGCTGACATACGCACATATATCTCCAGCCCTTTAGCAGAAGAAGTAAAAAGAACAAAATTTTGATGGACAACTAGTAACATCATTCAACAGGCTGCAAACATAGCTCCATCTCCGACCTGGGCCGGTTCACCCCTCCTTAGGCAACCTGGTGGCCCTCAGCTCCCCGGGGATCAGCATATTGATGCCGAACTTAGTGCAGACACTGGATCGGCATAGCCTACTGCAGCCCAGAACTCCTGAGCTCAAGTGCTCTGACAGCCTCAGCCTCCGGAGTAGCTGGATTACAGGCTCGTGCCACCGTGCCCGGCTTGCAATATGTTGCAATAGCAATGTGTTGGTCTTATCAACACAGCAATATGTTGGTCAAAATATAAATGCAATAAATTGTGTATGTATACACACATACACACACTGATCTTGTGTTAAGTATTTGAAAAACTATGGGGATACAAATTTTGTAATAGATGTAAATTAGTTGAGTTCTTTTCTGGGTTTGCATGATGTATGAAGCCACCAATTCTGCCTTATCATTACCTATCAACTAGTTTATTATATTCAACAATGTGTTTTTAAAAATATCTTAGCATTATGTGTAAAGGTGAGCATAATATATAAGGAAAAAATATGTATGGTTCAGAGCCAGCACTTAATGCCTTGTGTTCTAACATTACAGAATCATAATGTGATTTCAGCTTGGAATTCCCTAGTTATGTGATTTGTCAATGCATTTTTTTTTATTCTGTAGCACCTTCTCTCTTTAACCCCATCAACTCACTTGTGGTTAATAATGCCATGCACAATCTCTTTGTAATCCTGCCTGCATTAACAAAAATACATCATGGGTAATTTTGATCTTTGCGTCCTTCTCAGAATACTATGGAAACAAATTATATACTAAGGGTTTGCTCCAGTGGGTGGGAATTTCTGTAAGGAACAATAAGGATGTGTTTGCAGTCCACACATGCTCAAGGACAGGTTTATGTTTTAACAATGTGCTTGTTTCTGAAAAGAAGTGCTGAAGGGAGTTTTGGCAAAATCTAGCATTACCAGGAATATTCCAGGCTGTTATCACATGGTTGAACTCTTTGGCCATAGAGCAACTTGGTAACTATTTAGTCCCACACAGTGGAATCTGCTCTTCCACCGTGGTAATTTGCTTTAGTGCTTCCCCGCTTGACCCACCCCGCCCCAGGCCCAACTTTCAGGAAACCATTCCCCAAGTGCAAACAATCCTGTGCCAAGGAGACAGAAGATCTGGATCATATCTCAGTTAACTCTGTTCTTTGGCCACTCTTCACATTATATTAGGAATATCTGCTGTGTTAGTACTATCCGTACAAATCAAGGAATCTGATTTCAATGTGTTTCCAGAAGCTTGATCAAGTGGCAAAATCAACAAGAAGCAACTTAAAGATTAATCGATTTATAATAACTTCATCTTTCATGGAACATTGTCTACTTCATAAGATAAACTTTAAGGTGCTACACAATTTTCTGTCAACGTAAACCAGGGGTGTCAAACTCACGGCCTGCGGGCTGGATGCGTCACATGCTGGCCCCTCCCCCGCCCAGTTGAGCAAAGGGGGGGAAAGTTCCGATACATTATGTGACACTGCTGTGACAATGCGAGTTTGACACCCCTGACGTAAACCAATGCAGTAGTGCAGGAGTAGCTACTTTAAATCAGAGACTTTTGAGATAAGCAAAAGGCCATACAGTAGTCACACTCCCACATGCTCATTCTGTTATTCTCCATAGAATGAAACTTACAGAAGAACAGCAGTGATACCCAGCAGAAAGAAAAAAAGAGTCCGTCTCTTGCAGGCAGTATGTTTATTCTGCTTCTGGTACATGAAACCTCCACAGTGTCCACAACAGCGGCAGCAACAGAAATAAAAGCCCACTAGTGGCACAAGGACAATGAACAGAAGACCAATGACAGTACAAACCAGGAAGCCTGCCTCATACTTGAGCATCTAGTGATGGAGGGAAACAAGAGAAAGTTAATAGACTTAACAATTTGTAGATGCTTTTCCACTTCATAATGCAGAAAGAAGGTCAGAAGACTAAACAGATGACTGCATCCAGGAGTGGGCATATTCCATTGGATTTACCTCAGATACCATCTTGTTTTACTACTTGTACTGCCTCGAAAAACCCACTGAGCAGCAAGTGTGTTATTTTCAAGTCTCAATCAATTAACCAGAGGACAAGGAGGCCTCAGCGTATCAAGTGTTAGTTAGACATCTCTACATTTTCATTAATCACAAGGATTACACTCTATTCACCTCTTTATACACTGTCTGATTTTGAAAATCTTGATGCTTGACCACGTATGTCAGGAGATCTAGAAAGAAGCACAGAGAGATTGATGGAAAATGCTATCGTTTATTTATTAACATTTAAGATAATCCATAACCAAGATTTGTTTAAAAATTCCTGTCTGGATCCTCGGTCGCCAGACTGAAAATGCCATTTCTCTAGATCCCTTTCTCCAAAGTTATTTTACTATTGCATATGTGTATGGCAAATATAGCATTTTTAAAAGAGTGAATACATTTTTCATTCAAGACAATTAAATGAAAAAAATGCCTAGAAGGATTTCAATATTTTGACTTTCCCCACATATTTCTGTCTGGTGTATCACTAACTAAGGGGGCGTGCATAAGCAGGGGGCGTGCATAAGCGCACCAACGTGCCTACCGTCCCTGTCCTATTGTTTCTCTTATTCTTTTATTTTTCTTATATGTACCCATTTCATGTATTCACAACTATGTATACATTTATACTTATTATCTTGTAAACAATTGGCAAATCAAATAAATAAATAAATAAAATAAAACTTAAATGTCCAGAAAAGGTTACAATGGCATGGAATTTGGGAAGAATCTCATGAACCTTTTGCCTACGGGCTTCTGGAAACCTTAGAAAGATACCAGTCTTAGAACACGTAAAACCTTCCTCTTTAGTTCCAGGAACAGGAAAATTCAGGATAGGATTAACTGGATTTAATCCTATCATCAGTTATTCCACAATCAGAAAAAATATATATTTCCTTTGCCTCTGCTCTGCAAACAATATTCTCTCTTTGCCTCTAAGTGGTGCAATGCTACATGCTTTGCAAATATTCTCTATTTTAAAGGTTATCAGCTTGGAGTGATCTGAAGGAACAGATGGAGTGCAATAGAAAATAGTCATAACAAATATTCTACCAAGCTGCTGAGCAACGCAGTGCGGATGAACACTACATGGGGATTGGCTACTTCTACAAGGAAGTCAGCTGAAAATATAAGAGTATAATGTATCTGTTTCATGCTAGAGCAGGGGTAGTCAATCTTTTTATACCTACCGCTCACTTTTGTATCTCTGTTCGTAGTAAAATTTTCTCTAACCGCCCACTGGTTCCACAGTAATGGTGATTTATAAAGTAGGGGGGGAAACCCCTACCGCCCACCATGAAAGCTGGAATGCCCACTAGTGGGCGGTAGGGACCAGGTTGACTACCACTGTACCAAATCCATACAGCAATCAACTCTACACCAGTGAAGAACCGATCTGCAGATCTGAAAATCTCCACTATTCTATCTAATCATGAGAAGCTGTTAAAAACATGGCTCCATGACCAAACATTATTTTTTCCTTTTTTCTTTTCTACTCACGATAAATAACTCTTTAACATTAATCATCTTGTAACAATTTTGTACAACTTCAATAAAGTCCCAAAGGTGCTTTTTCAAGAGGAAACTGGACTTTCTGGACCAGAAAGTCCAGTTGTGTCTTGAAAAAGCACCTTTGGGACAACCTTGACTTGGATAACCAAGAATCTCCATAGACAACTTCAATAAAGGCACCTTTATGAATTTTCATATAGGTTTTCCTAATGGTCAACATATCGACTATAGCTTTTTAAACTAGAACAGTGATGAACAACTTTTTGATTGCCAAGGACTGTATATAATACTTGGGAGTAGATTAATAGATGCTAACAATCAGAGGTGATATTCAGCAGGTTCTGACCAGTTCTGGAGAACCGGTAGCGGAAATTTTGAGTAGTTCAGAGAACCAGCAAATACCACCTCTGACTGGAGATTTTACAGTATCCTCCATCCCCTGCCACGCCCACCAAGCCACGCCCACAGAACCGGTAGTAAAAAAAACTGAATCCCACGACTGCTGACAATGTATATCAGCAGTATTGAAATGTTTAGTTTATGGACTGCTCTTTTAAGAGGCCTTTATTTTTTAAAAAGCTTTGATAAGACAGTTTTATGACCTACACCAGTGGTGGCATTTGACCAGTTCTGCCCAGTTCTGGAGACCCAGTAGGAGCGATTCTCTCCAGTTCTCTCCGCTGCTCTGCTGTTGGGCCCACCCACCTGCCCGGGCTCCCCTACTCACCTTTATCCACTGAATTTGAAGCGCAGGTGCTTTGCGCAGCACAGAATAATGCCACGTGGCAGCTGCTGAAGCAACCAGGACTGTGCAGGCTTGCAGGAGGCAAGTTAGAATGCCTCTGCGCCTGTGCAAAGTGCGCGTTTGGCACGCACATGCACGCAAAGTGTGTGCACACATGCAAACTGCGCCCATCAAGCCACACCCACCAAACCGGTGGCAACAATATTTGAATACCACCACTGACCTACACTATAGATTTAATGTTTCATGACCAAAATGGCAGCATGTACTAATTTTCAGATATTATTTGAGTGGCCTTGGGACAAGATGCAATTCACCTTTACATTAAAAGAAAAATACTTAGTGTAGGTGTGGTTTTTGCTTGTTAAAATATATGATTTTTTTTTAATCCATGTAGCAATAGGGAGTGGCGCAGTGGCATAGAGGTAAAAATGCTCATCTCCCACACGGGAAGTTGAGAGTTCAATCCTACAAAGTGACAAAAGTTTCTCTATCAGGGTGCAAAGAGATAAAATCAGCTGTGAACTCTGGGAAGGCATCGGGAAGGGGATCTAGCCAGTAAATGTTCAGCTCCATTAGTGACCTTGACCCCACGCCAAAGCAAGAGATTAGAGTCGGAAAGAGGAAAAAAATGTGTAACAGTAGGATTAAATGATTTTCAGGTTTGGAAGCATACCTATCAGTCAGATTGATGCCTCAGCACATTTTATTTTCGTAATTGTATATTGCATGAGAATTTATGCTGTCCTCCATCAAAAAAACCACTCAACTTGAAATGTAATCTCCAAGCATCAAAATCTTGTTGCAGCTTTCCAGCCCTCTCAGCTGTTTGCACTTCCGGTAAAACTCACTTTATTTGCATAAATATCTCCCTTGTTTACCCATAGCAAACATTTTTGGTTTTGTTTCCTTTTAATGCATTGTCCCACCTTCCCCTTATGATCTTGGTTTTCTAAATGCTACCCTGGGAACTAATCTCCTATGAAAGGCACTTTATATAACATAAATAACTTAGCAGAGATATTTTAGTAGGATATCAGGGATAAATTAGCAGGATAATTAATCTTGGCTTAACTCAAGATAACTGTCTTCAATGTTTCATTTATATTTAAGCAAATGAATTCATATAACAGTTGAAATTTTCTCATTGGTCCATGTCATGCTATTTTGTAACTTTTATAGAGATTGTAGAGATTGAGAGATAGAATCATTATTTAAGGCATTACTTGATTATCTGGATGCATTTTATGTTTAATATCTCTGATTAAATACTCTAAAATAACATATTTGTGGTGAAATTTGCATTATTGCAATGCAAAACTTGCAATTAGTCAAGCTGTAGATTAGGTGGATAGACAAATTTTACAGACACAGTAATAATTTATTTCTATTCCTTATTTATTATTTATTTTGTATGCTGCCTTTATTATTTTTACAAATAACACAAGGCAGCAAACATAACCAACACACCTTTCTCCTCCTATTTTCCCCACAACAATTCTATGAGGTGGGGTTGGGCTGACAGAGAATGATTGACCCAAAGTCACCCAAGCTGGCTTTCATGGCTAAGATGGGACTTAAACTCAGTCTCCTGTTTTCAACTCTGGGTCTTAACCACCAGAGTAGAACAACAACAATAGAGAGAACCGGTATTGTTGTTGTTCTGCTGCTATTTCATGTCATTTTTATCTGAGAATGCAAATGAATTTTGATTTCTTTGTTAATTCAATCAAATAAATGTCATATCCATGCATTCCTATCATTATTTATTATCTCTAGTTGTTTAGCTTTTTTATTTTTATATTTAACATAAACTTTAAATATAGGACAAAATTGTGGCATCTATTATTACCAACTTATAGACATTTTTATATATTAACTAATATTATACTATGTGATACTACATAAATACATTATAGCTATTTTGTGTATGTGGGTATCACAATATAACTATGGTTTATCTATTTTTTTTTATCATGCTGATCAGTTCTCATAATGGCAATGTTAATTTGAAATTTTTTATCAGCAATTACCATTAAAAATAAGTATTTCCTAAAGAGGATGAGTTACTTATCTTAGTAAAAAAAAAAAAGTACAGATCTCTAAACTGCCCTTCATTAAACTTTCAAATCTTCAAGAAAATTTTATTCTAAACCCCATCCCGACTGTGGAAAATTTAGAATAAATTAAGCAAACTTAAGTAGATATGACACAATAGCATGGTTTAAAACTAAATGCACTGATACGTTAGTCTATAATCTTTAGAATTATATTTAACAATGACAAATGTGACATATTTTAATGGAGGGAGAAAAGAAAACAAAAAATCCAAATGTACAAACTAGAGAAACTGGTTAAACTTCAGTATTATCAAACTTGTGTCTTACTGGAATGTGATCCAAATATGAGTCAGTTGAGTGATCTTATAAAAAAGGAGATGTAGGAGGAAACAGTAAATCAAAATATTGAGCTATAATACAGACTCGTTTTTCATAAGGCTAAATGTATAGTATTGTACTTTTCAAACAAAAAGAAATACTCCAAAGAGTTAAATTTGAGATGTAGGGAAAAAATTACTGGGTTCTATTTAATTCATAGGTCTAAACAATGGCAACTAGAAAAACAACTGAACGCTTGAAAAACTCACAATCTAAAAGATAATGAAAAGCCATGTACAGGTGTGTATACAAATTATCCAAACATACAGTGAGCACTGATAGGTCAGGGTACATGATTCTAAAACAAATGGGAAAGTTTTACAACATAGAATGTTGATAATTGGAGACCCTGTTAAGAGTCCTCTGAAAAGGTGCCAACCTTACTTTGCCATGTCATTTTTGTATCTCTTTTCCCATCTTAATATGCTAGTTTTCCTCCACCTACTCTAACTAATTTCTTTATTCTGCATTTAGAAACAGACTGCCTGGAGATTAAGCAAAAAATTAATGATTGACTGAACTGGAACAGCTCCTTTACAATAAATAAAAATGTTGGTACTCAAAGCCTTTAATGAAAAACACAGCAGCTGCCAATGTATTGCAGGAAGTTAGCACCCACATCTCTCCTAGAAAATTGAAATATCCTAGGAAATATTAAAAAGACAGAATATTTCCCCTAAAAGGAGTAGAAACTCAAGAGCAGAAACACCTCAGAAGCAGAAGCTCATCCCCACCTTTGTTAATGGGTGGGCCATTAAGGCCTGGGCCATAACAAAGATCTCCAGCTAAAGGTATAGCAATTGCCCAAGAGCCCCTTCAGTGCATCATCATCCAGCAAGGCTCAACCAAGCCTGGAACTCAGGAAAGCCTAAAAAGTTAGCTAAGACCCCTGGGAGTCTGACAGCCAATGGGATACATTTCTTACACAGGAACAGGAAACACTAAGGTATATAAGGGTCTCTCAGCATCTTGGCTGGCCCTTCTTTTTCTTTTCCTTCACCTTGGAGCATGTGATCATCCTTCTTTGGAGCTTCAAGCCATTTGGTCCAGTCCACCATTAAACCATCTTTCCAAATAGCCTCCATGTTTCCAGTGTCTTTTTCCCCACTTGGAACTGAACTCAGAAGGATAATTATTCCAACAGTATAAAATGGACTTCAAAACAATCTTCATATCACTTTCTCCATGGCCTATTAAACTACCACCCTTTCCAAGGATGGGCAATTTGTTTACATTTATTTGTGTGTGTGCGTGTTTATTTGTCCAGACACTTTCTCCAGACACTGTGATCTGGTGTCAGTCAAAGATAAAGTAAAAAATAGTCACAATAACAAAGGTCTGTGATTGACAGAATAGCAGAATGGTAAAACAGCTATGAAAGAGCTGGATTCTGGTCATTATGTGGCCTTGTTGATTAGAATGCCTACTGTAGGGGTGCCCAAACTTGGCAACTTTAAGACTGTAGCTGGCTGAGGAATTCTGGGAGTTGAAATCCACCAGTCTTAAAGTTGCCAAGTTTGAAGACCTCTGGCCTACTGCCTAAGTCCAGTGCTTCATAGGCAAACTCTGCCTAAGGATGTAAAATTGTAAAACAGAAACATCCTGGCAGGAAAAAGCCACCATAGAAATATTTTACTTGACACCCGATATCCAAGAAAACCTAGCATTCTTAAAAATAAAAGAACTGGTGCCTTCATGGAAAGATAACTGTTAAATACAACAAATACACTGTTGCTCAATGCGCCTGCTGACCTTAGATTCATTTTTAAAGGGTAAGATAAACTAAGAGTACATACTCCTTAAATAGCTGCTTGCTATTTAATAGTTAAAGAGAAGTAATAAAACACAGAGACTACCAACTAAGAGGGGAATAGGTGGCTATTCTTCAAAGCAAAATATTGCACCAAGTGGGCCTTTAAAGTTATTTGTATCTAACAAATTTGTAGTTTCATACTCAATGATTGAAGGTCCAGAAGAGCAATAATTAGAAGAAGATTCTCAACTTTCATTAGCTATTATTCTCAACCCCTTTAAGCTGCAAGAGACTAAACACATGAGCTTTAAGAATTTTCTCTAGCCTTAAAAGAGAAAGAAGCCATAACTTTCAGGAAGGACACAAGGGTTAGGTTATCAAGTTGTCTACAATCTGAATACAATTCAACATGCAACACTATTGTCAAAAGGATCTTAACATTCTGAGTTGCATCACAAGAAGCATTATATTCAAGATAAGAAATCATAGCCTCAGGGCCTGCCTCATTATTCTAAAGAATGAAGCAGCCTCCTTAGGGTCAAACTGATACAGCTATTAGCAAACTATTTAATCCTTTTCCGTCCTTTCCTTTGTATACAATGGAGGATGTATGTGTGTTAAAACAGAAACTGCAGGGCTTCAACTGAGCTTCAATTCAATCTGGATAGAAAACAACTTGACTATAATTAAGCACACTGTAGTTACTAGTGCATTTCAGGTTAAACATTTGAATGAACAGCATGTTGGCTACTTTAGAACTTGAACTAGTTCAAAGCACAGATTTGGGCTCGTAAGTGAAAGGAGATACTGCAAAGCCATCTCTCTAAGGTTTGAAGAGATCTATACTAGGTTTCTAAATCTATTTTGAAACACTGTTCAAAGAGTGGTGTTTGTATTTAAACCTTGTGCAGACACGATATGTAAAAAATAATAATCTTATCCTATGTTAATCTTTTCAGGGGCTTGAAATATCTGATCTGAAGGAGAAGGCTGTAGAGCAGGGGTGTCCAACCTTGGCAACTTTAAGACTTGTGGACTTCAACTCCCAGAATTCCTCAGCCAGCTTTGCTGGCTGAGGAATTCTGGGAGGTGAAGTCCACAACTCTCTCTCCACTGTATCAGATACAGACTTTTATTTCTCTCAGGCATTTAACCCTGGAATATTTGTAGTAAAATATATTTTTCATTGTGTTTTCTGTTAAAATATCCTATTAAAATGTTAAAAGTACCACAGAAATATTTTTTAAGAAAAGAAACAAGACACCACTTCCTCCAGCTTATTCAACAGTGGTAAATTTCATGTTCTTCACTTGTGGAATCAAAACCACTAGGGAGGAAAAAAGGCTGGGAAGCCAACCTTGATAAATAGCCCAGTGGAGGCTATAGCTCCTTCACCCTCACCCCATTTTTCCTATTAAAACACAGTCCTGTTGCTTGTCAGCAGTGGCAGAATTAAAGCTCCGCAGCTCCAAAGCTCCACAGCTTTGCCATTGCACTTACACTGACATTCAGCCATAATATTGGAGATTTCAGAAGATTGTTCTAAAATAGTTCATATATTTATGATGAAAAGGAGCATTTTCTGATTTTATTTTTTTTTAAAATCCTGTCTTTATTATTTTTATAAATACTTCAAGGCAGCAAATGTTATAATACTCCTTCCTCTTCCTATTTGCTGCACAATAGCAATCCTATGAAGTGAGTTGAGCTGAGAGAGAGAGAGGGAGAGAGGGAGAGGGAGGGAGGGAGGGAGGGAGGGAGGGA